GTAACCAGAACATGAGACGTGCGGATCCATGTGCAAATCTTTTATTAAAAGACGTGGTCACAAACACAGGCAGGGTCAAAACACCAGCGAACAGGTATGGTACGGGGGAAAACACAAGAGCAGTCCAGTAAACAGCCGTGGGTCGATTGACGGTGAACAATATCCAACAGGGCAAGGCAAAGAGAGATAATCCAGGTACATAGCAAGGTACATAGCAATAATCGAGGCAGGGGCAAACAGAGTCTGAAACAGCAAGACAAAAAGGGTAATCTGAAAACACGCAAGATTCTAAACACAGGAAAACAGGCAAGGCGAGACTATGACTATGATATGACTATGACTATGACTATGACTATGACTATGACTATGACTATGACTATGACTATGACTAGCAGAACTGGCTCCGTAAAGTGCTATCACTAGGAGAGTAAACACAGACAATACTCGGCGACTTGAGTAGGATCTGGGTAGATGTTATATAGTGTGTGTAATAGCGTTCAGGTGAGCGTGTGATTGGTTACAGCTGTGTGCAATCATTGCAATGGATGATGGGAAATGTAGTCCAAGGTATAGTGTAACAGTCTGTGTAGTGTGAGAGTTCATGTAGTGAGGGGGTGACCTCTGGTGGTGAGTGAACGGAAATTCATAGACCGGATTCGTGACAGAATCATTCACCCTGTCTGGAACTTGCAAACACAGACAAGCAGATTGATTTAAACAATGATAGGTTCCAGTGCTGTATATTAGCTCTGATTAATTTGAAGATGGGAACTAACTGTTTTTTGTTTCTGTGTGTGTAGGTGCAGCAGCGGTGGACTGGTTTGTGTTTAATAAGTTGGCACTGACTCGTGTGGAAGCAGTAACATTAGCCTCTGCACTGCTGGACGAGGCCTCCCTGCGGCCCATCGGGGTCAGGAGCGCAGACGCTCTTCGCAACGCAGCTCTAGGTGAACAGTTCCTCGATGACTCCACTGCACTCTACTGCTTTGTAAGTTTCAAATCTCTTTCTTGTTGTTTTATTCACTACTCGATGCTTTTGTAATTATGTATTCTAGATTTAAACCGAATGGATATGATTTCTCAAACAGTCCCAAAGCTTCCAGAAGAGAGGCAGTGTGAAAGCAGAGAAGTCTTGGTCTGCGGTGGAACTCAGTGGGAAAGTGGTGAAGAGAGGTTACCTGCTCAAACAGGTGAGCACTCCACTATAATTAGAAGTTTTGAACTGAAATGTGCTTATCTGTGATGCTAACAGTCTTTTTTTCTGTGTGTCAGGGGCACAAAGTGAAGAACTGGAAGGTGAGATTGTTTGTTCTGAGGGCAGAGCCTGGTTTTCTGCACTATTATGATCCTAGCAAGGTGAGAATGCCAACCTTCAATTCACATGCTGTATAAGTACATTTTTTACTAAAGTCTAAAGAAATCAAGTTATGTTTATTTTTGTGCTGGCTTGTTAATGTCCTGATGGCCACCTTTCTCAGGATGACCTCACTCCGGTTGGCAGTATATCTCTGCGTGGCTGTCTGGTGTCTGCTCTGGATGATAACGGCATACCGTCAGGTGAGTCAGAGTTACACCACAGAAGTGTCTGAAGTCTGATGACTACCTGTTTCACAATGAATATTTACAAAGCAATTCCAGATATGAATCAAAATTAAGTAGCCACAGACCGAAAACACTGAAGAGCAGTGATTTGGGTCTTGTCATGGTAGCAGTAATATTTACAGGTAAATACTGTAAAACACAAAAGCTAACGGTCACTTTCCTGTAATCTTCAGGTGTTAAAGGTAAAGTTCAGGGCAACCTCTTTAAAATCATCACTCAGACGGACACACACTATTACATCCAGGCCCCAACACACGAAGAGAGGATGGACTGGATCCAAGCTATTAGACAACTGACTTAATTAGGTAATTGTTGGTATTGTTAATTTTATTGCTAAATTGTTTGTTATTGCTAAATTTATGTTTCTGTCTGTCACACATCTATTTAGAAATCTTGTGCCGTTTTAGTAGTTGTCGATGTGGTGTTTGTGTATGTGCAAAGAAAACAGATATCCAGTGTTATACAGCTAGTAACAAATACAATATATATATATAAATTTAATAATAAAAAAGGTAATACATGTGGGGCCAGCACAAGGCCTCATTCAAGTCAGCATATAGAATATTTCCATTTAAAGGGGTCATACGATGCGATTTAAATTTTTCCTTTCTCTTTGGCGCGTTACAAGCTCTTGGTGCATAAAGAAGATCTGTAAAGTTGCAAAGACTAAAGTCTCAAATCCAAAGAGATATTCTTAAGACTTGTCCACGCCCTCCTAAAACGCCTCGTTTAAACACGCCCCCACATGTCTACGTCACTATGTGGGAAGATTTGCATAACGCCGCCCAAATGTTCACATAAAGAAAGAAGGCATAACTTTTATTCTCGCTGTAGTATTGTTGTTGCCGCCGCCACCATGTCGAGAAGGCGCTGTGTGTTTCGTTGTGAAAGCAAAACTACTTTGTTTGGCCTTCCAAAAGAGGACGATATCCGCTTCGTCATGCCTAGAGCTGATTCGTTCTGGTCGCTGAGGAAATACATCAACTTCGCGCTGTGGATCGCCGGATCGGCTTTCACCGTGAACGAAGCCCGGGTTCGTCACATGTGGTTGCTGCAAGCCCGCTGGACGCTCCTTCGTTGAATCTGCCGGCCGCGCCGTTCTCAAGTCTGCCTGCTGTTCCTCACTCAAGCCCGCTGTGTGACGCATTTTATGGAGGACTGTTTCCTGAACCTGTAGAGTAGCATACAATGGGTCTGTGCTCAAAGGCTGTTCTATAAAGTGGGGCAGTTCCAACTTTGCAAGGACAGTCTGGCGCTTCTGACTCACAGCCTATAAGAAAAATGTTTATATTTAAAGAATTTGCCACTGATGATTCTGCAAGCCCGCTGGACGCTCCTTCGTTGAATCTGCCGGCCGCGCCGTTCTCAAGTCTGCCTGCTGTTCCTCACTCAAGCCCGCTGTGTGACGCATTTTATGGAGGACTGTTTCCTGAACCTGTAGAGTAGCATACAATGGGTCTGTGCTCAAAGGCTGTTCTATAAAGTGGGGCAGTTCCAACTTTGCAAGGACAGTCTGGCGCTTCTGACTCACAGCCTATAAGAAAAATGTTTATATTTAAAGAATTTGCCACTGATGATTCAGTGTAGAATAGTGCCTGTTGTTTGTCGTTTCTCCGATCACAAATGCAGACATGGTTTTATGTTTACGCGGCGCGATACGCAACACGTAAAAACACAGTATAAGTCATTATAGTCAGTAATTATGTCCCCACTGGTTGCAACAAATGCCTAGTTTGTAATGGGTTTTATTGGATTTGTCTTGCCGTGCCGGGAGACGGCATCACAGACAATGTGTTAAGGGGCGTAACATTTCTGTCACATGCTTGAGGTATTCAGCCAATCACAACGCACTGGATAGCTGGCCAATCAGAGCACACCTCGCTTTTCAGACCGATCAGCTTTGTTAAAATGTACGCGTTTCAGAAAGGCGGGGCATAGAAGAGCAACAATAATGTACATTATGTGGAAAATAATGTTTTTTTGAACCTTAAACCGCATAAACACATTGCATTACAACAAATACACAACATAATGTTCTTTTTAGCAACGTCATATGACCCCTTTAAAATTCAGATTTTGCAGTCCAAAATGTAATGTTTTTTTTTTTTTTTCTTATGTTTGATATAATATACAGGTGGTAAAGCTTATACATTCAGTGAATGTACTTTGAATGCATAAATTATGATCATTGTGAAATTTATTTTGTAAAATAAAAGTTTTATTTGAGTAACTGTCATGTAGCAATCATATTTTTAATGTGCATACCTGCAGTTTTGTCATGGACCGTTAGCATGTTTTTACTTGCCTTCTGTTTGTCAGGGGAAAAGAACTGACTTCATTTCTTGCACAAATCCGTTGGTTTGTGGCTATGGTTCTAAAACACACACTATGTCTGAGCATATTTCTTGCTCTCTCTCTTTCAAACATGCCCAAATGCACACTTTTACATGCGCACACACACACACACGTTTGTTTTTGTGAATTGTGGGGACATTCCATAGGCGTAATGGTTTTTATACTGTACAAACTGTATGTGCTATTATTGCCCTACACCAAAACCTACCCCTTACAGGAAACTTTGTGCATTTTTACTTTCTCAAAAAAACTCACTCTGTATGATTTATAAGCATTTTGAAAAATGGGGACATGGGGTAATGTCCTCATAAGTCACCTTCTTCTTGTAATACCTATTTCATACCCATGTCATTATACAAATTTGTGTCTTCATGTTTAAAAAAAACGCACACGCACACACATTAATTAACTTAAATAATCAGATCTTCTTAAAAGTTCTTTAAGAAAAGTTTACTGTTTACAGTACATATTGCAATTATTAGATGTTAAAAGACATTCAAGTAAACCTTGCTATTTAACACATGCATTTGCAGCATTAAGTGTGTAGATAGACAGCACCAAGTACAGGCTTCAGATGGACTTTGAGTCCTTTTTTTTCAAATCAATACAATCGCAGGGAATTGCATTTTAAAGTGAACAATCGGGTGTCAATTATGAATCCTTAGGTTCTTAATGCTATCAATACTGTTTTGAAGTACATTCGAATGAACAAACAAAAATTATTCTCTTAGTTACTCTGTTCTGTTGAAATGATAACAAATTTTTCAGACCGGCAAACAATAAAACATTCCTGTAGCTCAAACTGTAGAGAATGTCACTACCAACACTAAGATTATAGGTTTGATTCTCAGGGAATGCAGGAACTGATCAAATGTATATCTTGAAGGCAATGCTTTGGATAAAAGCATCTGCCAAATGTGTAAATGCAAATAAATTTGAACTGCAACAATTACTGCTACAAGCACACCAAAAGTCCTCTACTGTATAAGTGCATCTAATGAAACAAATGAAGGCACTTTTGCTTCTGTATCAAAGAGCCAAAGAAACTAAATATCTAATCAAAAGCAAACAAAAATGTCAGGTAGTACATTATGTATTATAAAAACTATATGAAAGAAATCTATCTGTGCTAGTTTATGGCAAATCACTCTTAATTTGAATTTTTATGCTATCTGGATTTGTGCACATGAGGTAACACAACTCCTTCAGAAATGTGTCCAAACATATGCAAAACCATTTTAAAATGAACAGCCTCATTTGCCACTACAAATAAAAATCACTGGAGAAACTATATAAAATGGGCAATTAGTTCATCAAAACAAACAGACCCAACTGAAATAAGTTCTAGATGTTTTAAACGAACTGAGGGAGTTCTGGAACTTAAAGCCAATTGTGTACAGTACATTCAGGATTTTAAAACCTCAGCTCAGTTCCTTCTGTGAATAGTCTGTGTCATCTTGACAGACAATTCTTCACTTGCTCAAGCCACTTTAGTGAGCTGTAGGTCTCCATGGACTCTAAGAGCAGTGAGAGATGCGAGCGGAGTCAGTCTGTGAGTGAAACCACACAACGGCTGCCCATCCACCAGAATACGGAACTGCTGGTGCTCGCACACAATCTCCATCTGAGAGAGACACAAGATGGAAACAACATTATTGTGACACAATGGTGTGACATTACCAAAGATTTCAGCTTTGTTTCAACTTTATTAGCTGTATCAAACCCTCCAAACACACTCTGACTCTTTACCTTAAAGGGCTCTCCTGGAGCAAAGGGGAAGAAAGACAGGGCAGTTTCTGAAGCGCCCCACTGTCCTGACAGACGAGCGTTACGAAGCACAGCCTTTTGTGAAAAGTTCACCTTCAACTCCAGACCCACATCACCCTCGATTTCCTCATCCCCCTCCCCTTTAGACTGGCATGCCACTAAAACCACCATACTAAAGAGACAGACAGAAAAATATTTTTAACATCAATTTAAAAACAAACATATTTTTAACAGACTGTTAACAGAGTCAATTTTATGGAATCTGAGTTCTGCTCTTTGATCTGTGAAGCTCCAGATCAAATCACATTATGAACCAGCAGGTTTTGGGTTACCCCTAGTTGCCAAATATGACCATACATGTCCAGTCTGTTTTTATTTATTTTTCCCCCCAGATCTGGCTGGCTAAGCCTTCATGGGAATTTAACTTTTTCCCACACTGGCAAGACGGGAGTGGACAACAACAGCTGGAAAACCAAATGTATTGCACTGTAAAAAATACCAGTCATTTTAATTGAAAACAATGTTAAAACGTTATAGTAAAAACATAATAATAATAACAAAAAAATTATAACTTACTTGACAATACAATTTTACAGTCTGTTTTTAGAAGTAAAAGTATACATTTCCTCAAATTGTGGAGAAGAATGTGTATTCCCTGCTCAAACATCACATTTGTTTTGATCTTATTTTAAGTTATGAGAAGTTATTTACTTCTTATTTTTGCTATCAGTATACACCGTAAAAGTGGTAACCTGCAGTTTCTACCTGATTTAACCCATTAAGACTTGTTGGTATAAAATAATGTATACAGGTTGTTTCAGTGATAATATTTTTGACTTGAATAAAACCAGTTAATTTCGATGTTTACATTTTAAGTCACTTTTTTTCTGTGCATGTGGCTATATTGTATAGTATATGTATACAGTATAAGCTATTTACACAATATTAATATATTTACATAAAATATATATACTATACATTTATACATATAATATTATACAAAGACACACACACACACACAAATTGGTGTTTTCCCACATGCATTTAAAATGAGTTCTATGTCTAGTGTTCTCTGTTGGCACCCATGTTTTCTTTTGCTCCTGTGTGAACAGGAGACGGTAAAACGGTTTAATCCCCGATACAACTGGCTCATTGTGTTATCGCAGTGAAGGCGCGTCTCATCCTCAACGAACCAAGTCATTCAGGACGTGCGGATGTGACAGTGGACAAATGAACGCAAGAGCTGGCGAAGGCACAGACAGGTGTGTCTGATACGAACCTTTTGGGCTGCTTGTGAACAATACCCATCACTACCAGCCTCATGGTCGGCCGTAGACCCCCTTTGATCTCCCCAACATAGTCCTCCTCCTGCAGGAATAAGGTTTTAGTGTCATTCAAATATCTGATGCTATAGGCAGGCAAAATACGAAAAATTATTTATCAATGTACTGATTTAAAATCATCACGATATCTTAAACCCATCGCTGTGAGGCAAGAAGGATCAGAATAGGTCCTCAGACCATTCATCCTTTTTTAAAATGACAGTTTACAATTTTAATATGTAAATATAATCTAAACGAGTCGTAGCATTTATAAATGTAGCAGTCATTTATATGACAGATGTATCAATACAGAGTCAAATACATGAGCCCACAGGAAGCGTCACTGTTCCAACACAATCAATCAATCTCTGGCCGATAAACTCTAAAATCATCGTTATCATACTTACGTCTCGGATGTTCCCCTTATCTGTCATGCTTTCCTCTGTCGCAAATGGCTTTAGTTTAGTCGTGCAGGTGTTGCGTTTCAAGCGCGAGGACAATAGCTGTCATGCACGGGCCACGGAATTGATCATAGCAGTGCGCGAGACCGGCGTTGAATCTGCGAACCCCGCCTCGCGCCACTGCGTTTCCATAGTAACCATCACAGGCCAGGAGCGATGATGTCAAAAATACAGTAGCGACTTCGGCACATTTCAAAATGAATGCATGCATCTCTGCTTAATATGAGAGCATATACCAAGTCTCGTGATTCCAGAACAATACACTAGCCTACAAATTTTGTGAAACCAGACACGTTTTTATTTGAATTCTTTATTTGAATAATTACTATGCGTATTCTTAACCTATACATTCAATAATACGAAGATAAACACTAATTCACTTGGGAATAAGTTCGCATAATGGTGGAATCACAACATGGACAGCACACTCAAGAGACATAGCCTAATTCGCTCCCAGGTCCAACAACAGGTGTATTGTTTCACATTCCCATCTAACCAGTCCGGCACTTTGTTTCTGCGATATGTTTTTAGCACCCAGAGAGGGTTTCCAAGGCTTATGAACTCCAGATTACTGATCAGGTTTCCCTTCTCGAGGTTGTTTGTACACACAAGACCAGCATGTCAGCATGTTTCATTCTGACTCTCAGTACAGTTTCTCAGTTAAAATGTAAATAATTGATCTTGCCAAATAGAACAATTGTGGCATTAGAGTGCAGCAACAGAAACAAAATCAAGAACATATTTGAATTAGACATCTAGCAACAACTACCGATTTGTTAAATGTAATGTCAACTACAATACATTAAATGTAATGTCAAATCTAATACAAAAAAAGAAAGATAAGACAGCGGTCATCACGATGTAATATTTAAACAAACACATGACACATCATTTTTTCTGTTTCTCACATGCGCACTTTTCTTCTGCGTTAAGACTATCAAAAACATTTTCACAATTAATCCACAAGATTTCAGGTCGCAACAACAGAAATTAACTGCAGAAATAATGAGGGAGAGGTGGGTTATTTGGACCACTGGGAGGCAAATTTTACACAAAAGATATCCTAATGTCTTTCGCCAGGCGTCGCTTATCGAGCAGAAATGTGAAATCTACCTTTGAGTCTTTCAAATCTCAGCCGTTTTTTTATCTTATTGATTACATTTGAAAATAATAAAATGCAATAGTTTAAGAATCAGCATCTACATTTAATTGGAAATCAACTACAGGAATTTCAGTAAAAACACTTTTGAAAATTCCTAATAAGCGACGACTGTGATTGGCTTACCCTTCCAGCGCTGAGAAAAGTATCAAGTGTCACTTGACTACATCAGCACGCGCAAGAAAAGCTATTTGCACCTGAATAATGACTAGGAATTTAATTGTCACCAAAAAGGAGAATTGTTATTTAATTAGAAGCCCAGCCAACTGCGATAAACAGTTTCATAACAATTGCCATTTCTACCCCCTATTTCATGTCTATTGTTTTGACCCTTGAACTGACAGCTCCTGGATCAGCTGATTGAGTCACATGACTCTCTCATGGCTACACACAGCTGATGGCAAGCGCATTTGGCAAAGGCAAACCCAAATCGTAAGTGCCAATTTAATTAATTATATATTCTTGTACATTAGCGTATGACGATGTACAGAATTTTGATAGAGTAGTCAGTTTGCACTCCTCCATGCTATTTTAGGTGGGCATTATCTGTTGTTTTGATGTTTCACTTTTAAGAGCTGTTCTATAAACAAAGTTTAAATCACACTAATCGCAATGTAAACACTTTATGGCAGTCGTTAACAGCCTAAATCCGAGAATTGCTGACATCAATTCTGTAACATTTTTTTATGCTTTAGAATAGTTTTTAACCCTATTAACTGGTTCTGCTCACATGAAGTCTCTATATTTTAGTTGGCTTTGCATTTTTTTAATTATACCTTATCATTATTATTTTATTGAAAATAAATGCTTTTCTGATCATTAATCAAATATGTGTGCATATATTCTGAATTTGATTTGTCCTCATCATCTACAAAATCGCTCATCATTTTTTTCTTTCATTTTCCATCCCCTCTTTCATCCTACCTCTCTTAGATGTGGAATATTCATGAACACATCTGAGGCCAGTAATCTTTCTGTTGACCTCAACAGACTGCTGAATCAAAGCAGACTATTTATCATGCATCCGTTTGGCCGTGAAGAAGAGACCTCCAGACGCGAGCTCTTCGGCTTCTTCACGCGGTGTTTGAAGCGCGGTGAGTGGGAGCTCGCGGCAGCCTGCGTGGGACAGCTGGGCGACGCGCGGGGAGATGATCCCCATAGCCCGCACGACATCGTTAAAGCCATCGTTACCCACCCATACCCGCTCAGGTGAGTGACCCTGACAGGAAGAAGCAACAGGGATTCTAATTCAAGTCATAAACGACATGAACCAATGTCGAGAACAATAAACTAATCAACTTTCCTCTTTCTCTGGACGGTGGTTACAGTAGTATAGTAAATTTGGCCGAAAATTATGGTTACCATGGTAAATGTTTATAAGAGGTACTTAACATTTCATTACGGAGAGGGTTCAAGAGGCTAAAGTTAAGATATTTTAAGAAACACATCTGTTTTTCTTTTATTTATACCCAGGTGGGAAACAGTGGGCAGCCCTCACAGACTGGCCTGGTATTGGCTTCAAGTTCTGGAAAAGCAGACTGAAATGAAGGTGTGTTTTCCACTGGATAGCATTTCTAATAGATGCTTTAAGCAGGAAGCATTCATCCCTGTTATCAGTGCCTCTTTTTCCTGATGCAGATTATGGTTACCTTCTCTGCAGGTGAGCGGGTCTGTGAAGAGAGAACTGGAGTTTATGTTGCTTCTAGAGGAACTTGGAGATGTGCCACCGTCTGTACTTAAGGTATGACTAATTCCTAATTTCCAACTACTGTATGTTGACTCCAAATGCATGTAGATTAGAAAGTAAGATAGTGCTGCTGACACTGTTGTAACAACTTTATGGCTTTTTGTTAACAAACCTCCGATTATTTCCTTTGCTTTGTACTCTGATAAGGTTCTACTCTATCAGTCGCTTTTGTGCACGTGTGCATAGTTGAGCAAGACATGTAGTATAATAATAAAAAAAATATTTTGCACTCTTTTTTCCATTCTGACAAATATTGCATCCACTTTCCATGTAAAAAAAAAAATTTTTGCAATAGACACTTTTTTTCCAGAAGTTTTATTTATTATCTCCATTGGCAGTAAAAAAATATTTAGTTAAGAGCTCTAACTCCTTGACCTTGATCCGTGATCAACCACCACATTTTTGGAAAAGGTCAAATTTTTTAGTTAATAAACTACTCATCTCACATGTACCAAATTGCAAATGAAATAACAGAACAAATACTGTGCGATCACATTAGCAAATTTTCAGCAAAATTCTGCAGAAAAAAAGGTCCGTTGTCTATTGTCTGTAGTGTAAGTGATGTATGAAGCACAGCTTACACAGAAGTCACTTCCACGCTGACCAAGCAGTTTTCTGTTGGTCAGTGTGGCAAGTTTGTGCAGCCAACTTAAAACAGTTGCGAAATCTTTTTCCTTATGCAAAATTCCAAATTGCATGGAATCCTATTTAAATATATTTTGCCCTTGAAAACTCGCAGAACAATGGTAAATGTAACTGCACCTTAAGGCAAAATTGCTTATATGATTAATGGAAATCTCAATTATAACTTTTACTGAGATGTATATCATCTCTTTGACAGCCACTATAGACATGATGTGTATGTCCTGAAAGAATTATACACTCGCTAAACATCAAAATAAAGAGCCACCTTACTTTTTTTTTTTTTTTAGCCTTACTGTAGCTTTTTCATCTACTTTGCTTTATATCTTCCATAGGAGCTGCATGAAGCCTTCCTGTACTCTGAGGAAGTAACGGGAAAGATTCCAGGTGATTCCACCCCTCCACTGAGTGCTGCTGTTCTATCCTGCCTCCATTCTCTTTTAACCCGCCATCAGCCACGGCTCTGCCACTCTTTCATCAGCTTCCTTCAGCACGCAGACCATTCCAGAGACCACGCCTTACAGGATGTTTTCATCCAGCACCTCACCGAGCGAGTGAACATGCCTGTGGACAAGAGGAATGAGAAATGGGTGGAGGAGGTGTGTTCAGCGCTGGCCTTAGCACCGTGGGGGCCGGAGAGGTCAAATGGACAGCTTGAGACCCTGTGGGAGGGTTTGTGGTCAGCTAGAGAAGGGCCCATGACGGAGGAAAGGATTCTGGGATGTCTGCTGAGGCCGCAGGGTCAGGCTCTGTTGATGGCGTTCAGCTCCACGGCACTCAGGCTGCTCAAAGAGAAACTGCTGAGAGAAGCTTCACATACACAGGGTGAGTCAGTTAAGTTTACTTTGGTCATACGGACAACCAGGTGCAGAATCACATTTTGTTTCCATAAATATGTTTTGTTTTTTTCTATGAATCTTGTAGCCAAATACTGACAATGAAACACTACTAATAGAATGATCTGTTCTGTTAATCAGTGTGTTGTTTAATATTTTTGGGGAAATCATGATGCTTTTTTCAGGATTCTTTGATGAATAGAAAATTCAGCAGAACAGCATTTATTTGAAATAAATTTTTTGTGACATTATAAATGTCTTAACGGCATTGTATCTGGAAACAAAAACTAGATCAGCTGTAGGTCAACTGTAATTTGCAGTCTTAAAAGGCAGATCTGAGCCACCATGAACAGTGGTATAGAATTGTTTTAAGGAAGTGAAGTTGATTGTTACTGGTGTGTGTGCCACCTCCTTTACTTTGACTTTTCATACTTCTGCTCATGTGGTCATAGTTCCCTTCCAAAACGTGTTCAGTTGTCACACCATTTGCATGTGATCTTTTTTTTTTATTCCGGACGTCATTGTTTGCGTTGATGCATGTCAAAAACTCTATTTCCTTCTAGTTGACTTGCCTGATCTGGAAAGGGTCATGCTTGGCTTGTGCTGTCATGGTGACAAGCGTTTGGTGTGGAAAGCCATTTACTTTGAGTGTTTGAGCACGGGAAAGCACTTTCTGGAACAGGTCTTGG